TGCGTTTTTTTTTTTTGTTATTTATAAAAACAGATTTCTGTGTGACCCGAGAACACTATCCGTGTGACCTTACGTCATGTCTGTGTGACCTGAAAACACTGTCTGTGTGACCTTACGTCATGTCTGTGTGACCCGAGAACACTGTCTGTGTGACCTTACGTCATGTCTGTGTGACCTGAGAACACTGTCCGTGTGACCTTACGTCATGTCTGTGTGACCTGAGAACACTGTCCGTGTGACCTTACGTCATGTCTGTGTGACCTGAGAACACTGTCCGTGTGACCTGAGAACACTGTCTGTGTGACCTTATGTCACGTCCGTGTGACCTTGTGTCATGTCTATGTGACCTTACGTTGTCTGTATGGACCTTTCGACGTGTCTGTGTGACCTGCCCTCATATCTGTATGACCTTATTTCATATTTGTATGACCTGGCGAATATCTGTGACCTTATGTTATGTCTCTGTGACCTGATCATGCTTGTGTGACCTGATATCATGTCCTTGTGATCTGACTTAATCTCTGTGTGACCTATATTGTTGTGAAATGACATCAGTTCTCACAGACGTGACGATATGTCTTTTACACATATGACGTCAGGTCATGCAGGAACAGACATGATGACAGGTCACAAAGACATGACATCAGGTTATACAGGCACAGGAATGACTTCAGGTCACATAGACATGACGTCAGGTAACAGACGGGACGTCAGGTCGTATAAACATGACGTCAGATCACAGAAATGAGACGTGAGGCAACAATGTCTCTTTATGGGCTCTATAGGAAGGCGCTAGACCTACAAGGGCAAGAACCAGGGTCTGATGCGAGGAAGGAGAGCATAACTCCAATTCCTTGGAAGAAGTTCACTTTACTAGCATCAACGTTACAAACAACGCACATAACACTCACTCCCACACTCACTCCCACACTCACTCCCACACTCACACACTCACTCACTCCCACACTCACTCACTCCCACACTCACACACTCACTCACTCCCACACTCACACACTCACACACTCCCACACTCACTCACTCCCACACTCACACACTCACTCCCACACTCACTCACTCCCACACTCACTCACTCCCACACCACACACTCACGTCCCACACTCACTCACTCCCACACTCATCCACACACTCACTCACTCACTCCCACACTCACTCCCACACTCACTCCCACACTCATCTCCCACACTCACGCACCACTCCCACACTCACATCACTCCCATACTAACACACTCACTCCCACACTCACTCACTCACTCCCACACTCACTCACCAACACTCTCCTTACGACTCACTCATCCCACACTACACATACACACGACTCACACGTACATCCCACACTCACTCTCACTAAACACTACACTCACTCCCACATCTAACCCATCACTACTACACATCAATCACTCAACATCTACTCACTCACTACTACAACTACACATCACTCCCACCCTCACTCATCTCCCATACTCACACACCACTCCCACACTCACTCACTCACTCCCACACTCACACACTCACTCCTACACTCACTCACTCACACTCACTCACACACTCACTCACATCCCACACTCATCACATCACTCACTCCCACACTAAACACACTCACTCACTCCCACACTCACTCACTCCCTACCACACCCTTCACTCCAACTCACTCACTCACTCCAACACTCACTCCCAACACTCACAACTCACTCCCACACTCACTCACTCCCACACTCACTTCACCACACTCACCACTACTCACACACTCCTCCCACACTCACTCACTCCCACACTCACTCACCACTCACCCTCACTCCACATCACTCCCACACTCACACACACTCACTCACTCCCACACTCACACACTCACTCATCCACACTTACTCACCCCACACTCACTCACTCCCACACTCACTCCACCTCAATACTCACTCACTCACACACTCACTCCACACTCACTCACTCACTCACTCACTCACCTCACTTCCCACACATCACACACTCACTCACTCCCACACTCATCCCACACTAACTCACTCCACCACACTCACAACTCACTCCTACACTCACTCACTCCACACTCAACACACTCACTCAGTCCCCACCACTCATCCACACTCACTCACTCCCACACTCACCACTCCCACACTCACACACTCCACTCACTCACACACTCACTCACTCCCACACTCACTCACTCATCACTCACTCCCACACTCACTCACCCTCAACAATCACATCACTCACTTCACTCCCACACTCACTCACTCCCACACTCACACACTCACTCACTCCACACCACATCACTCACTCACAACTCACATACACTCACCACACACTACACTCATCACTCCCACACTCACTCACTCACTCACTCACACACTCACTTACTCCCACACTCACACACTCACTCACTCACACACTCACTCAGTCCCACACTCACACACTCACTCACTCCTACACTCACTCACTCCCACACTCACACACTCACTCAGTCCCATACTCACTCATTCCCACACTCACTCACTCCCACACTCACTCACTCCCACACTCACACACTCACTCACTCACACACTCACTCACTCCCACACTCACTCACTCCCACACTCACTCACTCACTCACACACTCACTCACTCCCACACTCACTCACTCACTCATTCACTCACTCACTCACTCTACTATGCTGCATGCTTACTCATGTGTTTTCAAATTCTCACTCATACTAATTCAAAACTCATTCAACCTAGTAAGTTGCAATGATAAAGAATCCTTTTTGCAAAACTTAATTATGTTCCAATACTCATAATGTTGCAATACCCATTCACAGTGTTGCAATACTAACTCATAATGTTGCAATACCCATGCACAGTGTTGCAATACGCACTCATAATGTTGCAATACCCATTCATAGTGTTGCAACACTCACGCATAATGTTGCAATACCCATTCATACTGTTGCAATACTCACTCATAATGTTGCAATACCCATTCATAGTGTTGCAATACTCACTCATAATGTTGCAATACCCATTCATACTGTTGCAATACTCACTCATAATGTTGCAATACCCATTCATAGTGTTGCAACACTCACTCATAATGTTGCAATACCCATTCAGTGTTGCAACACTCACTCATAATGTTGCAATACCCATTCATAGTGTTGCAACACTCACTCATAATGTTGCAATACCTATTCATAGTGTTGCAACACTCACTCATAATGTTGCAATACCCATTCATACTGTTGCAATACTCACTCATAATGTTGCAATACCCATTCATAGTGTTGCAACACTCACTCATAATGTTGCAATACCCATTCATAGTGTTGCAACACTCACTCATAATGTTGCAATACCCATTCATACTGTTGCAATACTCACTCATAATGTTGCAACACCAATTCATACTGTTGCAATACTCACTCATAATGTTGCAGTACTCATTCATAGTGTTGGAATAGTCACTATGTTGCAATACTCACTATGTTGAAATACTCATTCATAGTGTTTTAATGCTCACTGTGTTGCAATACTCACTATGTTGCAATACACACTCATAATGTTGCAACACTCACTCATAGTGCTGCAATATTCACTATGTTGCAATACTCATAATGATCCAATGCTCATTCATAGTGTTGCAATACTCACTATTCTGCAGTTCTCATAATGTTGCAATACTCACTCATAATGTTGCAGTACTGATAGTATGGCAGTACTCACATAACCTGAAGGATACCTGAAGGATGTTTTTGGGGTCAATGCCCCCCGCGGCCAGGTCTCAAAGCCTCCCGTTGGATCGTGGCCTGATCAATTAAGCTGTTACTACCGGCCACACGCAGTCCAGTGTACCACAGCCATGTTAATCAAAAAATATCATGAAGAATTTATTAAGCTTCCTCTTGAAGACAGCAAATTGTCTGTTGGTAACCCACCACTTATACGATATGAGGCTGTTGAAAAGCCTTGGCCCTCTTACACTTGATGTAATATTTCTCTGTGCAATTATGGCGCCCCGCCTCTTCCCTGCGTGTATTTTGCACTGTAAGTCGAGCCTCCACTACTACTACTTCTGCGACTAATACTACAACAACTACTACTACTACTACTAAAACTACTAAAACTACCTCTACCTCTCTACTTCCTTTCTTACTACCTCCCTTGTCCCATCCCTGTCTGCTAGCCTCTTGTTTCAGTTGGGAGCGACTACTGTGTGCAGATTTACGACCAGTCTCTCTAGGGACTGGTCGTAAATCTGTCAGATATATTTTAATGTATCTGATATACTAATATATCTGTCAGATATATTATAATTTTCAGTCAGGTAAAAATTGTAACATATCTTTGTCGCCTTCATCCCAGTGAGTACATATGGAACGGCTTTCAATATTCTTAGTAATTTAGATGCTTGATTGAACCAATATATGCAGGGAAGGATCTATGTACATTCTCTGCAATTTCTCCTGCTTAAGAGGACCAGCTAATGTATAACAATGTCTCCTGCCTAAGTGGACCAGCTAATGTATAACAATTTTCCAGCCTATAGAGAACAAGTGGTTTAGAGAGCACCATCACTTGTTCTACAAATTTTGTATTGAAGGTTCTCATTATCCATTCTATCATTTGTCGTGGTTTACTAGAGTGAGATCGGACATTATCAGCTCTGTGTCACTCACGGTAGTTTCATGTACTACTGAGTGCTTACACTCTGATTTATTCAACATTCAAGAATTTTTTGCAATATTCTCTCTTCATGTTGCAAAGCCCACTCACTGCTGCAATATTGACTTATTATGTTACAATAATCACTAAGTCTTTTAAAGTACTCATTCATTATGTTACAATATTCACTCATGTTGTTACAATACTTATTCTTCATATTATAATACTCATTGTGTGACATTATTCACTCATTATGTTACAATATCCAGTAAACATGTTGCAATACTCACTCATTCTGTTACAATTCTCACTCATCATGTTAGAATACTCACTCAACCTGTTCTCTGCCACTTTAAGAGTGAAAGCCTCCAGGGACACAGGAGGAGATAAACCCTTGCGGTTGATAGCAGTGAGGGTGACCACATAGTCTTCCCCTGGAGCAAGACCCCCGAGAGTGAAGTTGGGAGACCTTCCTTCTAGGACTCTGACTGGCTTAGCTGACCCTCCCATGTATACCTCGCTCTGTGATAAGAGAACATCATGTTACACGCCTTCATACACAGAATAACATATTTCATACACACACACCAACAAAGTTATGGTCTTGTCCACACAAAGAGAGTATCATGTTAAAAATGTCCATAATCAGAGAACATTGTCTAACAAAAGTCTACACACAAATATCACTAACAAACAGAATATCAGGTAGCGAAAAGTTATATACAGAGAACATCATGTTATACAATGTAAAACACAAACTTACACACACTGACACACATAGAATGTTATGTAATACAGACTTACATGAAGGAAATACAGTGAAGACGAGATATTGTGCTGACAGAACTTATAACATGGCAAGCTTATGTTCTGTGCCGAGCTTCATTACTCACAACACAGCTTCATCACTCACAACACTGCTTCATCACTCACAACACAGCTTCATCACTCACAACACAGCGTCATCACTCACAACACAGCTTCATCACTCACAACACAGCGTCATCACTCACAACACAGCTTCATCACTCACAACACAGCGTCATCACTCACAACACAGCTTCATCACTCACAACACAGCGTCATCACTCACAACCAGCTTCATCACTCACAACACAGCTTCATCACTCACAACACAGCTTCATCACTCACAAAACAGCGTCATCACTCACAACACAGCTTCATCACTCACAACACAGCGTCATCACTCACAACACAGCTCATCACTCACAACACAGCGTCATCACTCACAAACACGCTTCATCACTCACAACACAGCGTCATCACTCACAACACAGCTTCATCACTCACAACACAGCGTCATCACTCACAACACAGCTTCATCACTCACAACACAGCTTCATCACTCACAACACAGCTTCATCACTCACAACACAGCGTCATCACTCACAACACAGCTTCATCACTCACAACACACTCATCACTCACAACACAGCATCATCACTCACAACACAGCTTCATCACTCACAACAAGCTTCATCACTCACAACACAGCTTCATCACTCACAACACAGCATCATCACTCACAACACACATCATCACTCACAACACAGCATCATCACTCACAACACAGCATCATCACTCCACAACAGAGTATAATCACTCACAACACAGCATCATCACTCACAATACAGCATCATCACCCACAACACGCATCAATCACTCACAACACAGCATCATCACTCACAAACACAGCTCATCACTCACAACAGAGTATAATCACTCACAACACAACATCATCACTCACAACACAGCTTCATCACTCACAACACCAGCTTTCACACTCACAACACAGCTTCACTCACAACCACAGCTTCATCACTCACAACACAGCATCATCACTCACAACACAGCTTCATCACTCACAACACAGCATCATCACTCACAACACAACATCATCACTCACAACACAGCTTCATCACTCACAACACAGCATCATCACTCACAACGCAGCATCATCACTCACAACACAGCATCATCACTCACAACAACAGCATCATCACTCACAACACACATCATCACTCACAACACAGCTTCATCACTCACAACACAGCATCATCACTCACAACACAGCATCATCACTCACAACACAGCATCATCATTCACAACACAGCTTCATCACTCACAACACAGCATCATCACTCACAACACAGCTTCATCACTCACAACACAGCATCATCATTCACAACACAGCTTCATCACTCACAACACAGCATCATCACTCACAACACAGCTTCATCACTCAAAACACAGCTTGATCAATCACAACACAGCATCATCACTCACAACACAGCATCATCACTCACAACACAGCTTCATCACTCACAACACAGCTTCATCACTCACAACACAGCTTCATCACTCACAACACAGCTTCATCACTCACAACACAGCTTCATCACCCACAACACAGTATCATCACTCACAACACAGCATCATCACTCACAACACAGCATCATCACTCACAACACAGCATCATCACTCACAACACAGCATCATCACTCACAACACAACTTCATCACTCACAACCAGCATCATCATCTCACAACACAGCTTCATCTCTCACAACACAGCATCGTCACTACACAAACACAGCATCATCACCCACAACACAGCTTCATCACTCACAACACAGCATCATCACTCACAACACAGTATAATCACTCACAACCACAGCATCATCACTCACAACAACAGCTTCATCACTCACAACACAGCATCATCACATCACAACCACAGCATCATCCACTCACAACACAGCATCATCACTCACAACACAGCTTCATCACTCACAACACAGCATCACACTCAACAAACACAGCTTCATCACTCACAACACAGCATCATCACTCACAACGCAGCATCATCACTCACAACACAGCATCATCACTCACAACACAGCATCATCACTCACAATACAGCATCATCACCCACAACACAGCATCATCACTCACAACACAGCATCATCACTCACAACACAGCTTCATCAATCACAACACAGCTTCATCACTCACAACACAGCATCATCACTCACAACACAGCATCATCACTCACAACACAGCATCATCACTCACAACACAGCATCATCACTCACAACACATTATCATCACTCACAACACAGCATCATCACTCACAACACAGCATCATCACTCACAACACAGCTTCATCACTCACAGCACAGCATCATCACTCACAACACAGCATCATTACTCACAACACAGCATCATCACTCACAACACAGCTTCATCACTCACAACACAGCATCATCACTCACAACACAGCATCATCTCTCACAACGCAGCATCATCAGTCACAACACAGCTTCATCACTCACAACACAGCATCATCACTCACAACACAGCATCAATCACTCACAACACAGTTTCATCACTCACAACACAGCTTCATCATTCACAACAGAGCATCATCACTCACAACACAGCATAATCACTCACAACACAGCTTCATCACTCACAACACAGCATCATCACTCACAACACAACATCAACACTCACAACACAGCATCATCACTCACAACACAGCTTCATCACTCACAACACAGCATCATCACTCACAACACAGCTTCATCACTCACAACACAGCTTCATCATCACAACAGAGCATCATCACTCACAACACAGCATAATCACTCACAACACAGCTTCATCACTCACAACACAGCATCATCACTCACAACACAACATCAACACTCACAACACAGCATCATCACTCACAACACAGCTTCATCACTCACAACACAGCATCATCACTCACAACACAGCATCATCACTCACAACACAGCTTCATCACTCACAACACAGCATCATCACTCACAACACAACATCATCACTCACAACACAGCATCATCACTCACAACACAGCTTCATCACTCATAACACTGCATCATCACTCACAACGCAGCATCATCACTCACAACACAGCATCATCACTCACAACACAGCTTCATCACTCACAACACAGCATCATCACCCACAACTCAGCATCATCACTCACAACACAGCTTCATCACTCATAACACTGCATCATCACTCACAACACAGCTTCATCACTCATAACACAGCTCTTCACACTCACAACGCAGCATCATCACTCCACAACACAGCATCATCACACACAACACAGCATCATCACTCACAACACAGCATCATCACTCACAACACAGCATCATCACTCAAAACGCAGCATCATCACTCACAACGCAGCATCATCACTCACAACACAGCATCATCACTCACATACACAGCATCATCACTCACACACAGCATCATCACTCACAACACAGCATCGTCACTCACAAACGCAGCAGCATCACTCACAACGCAGCAGCATCACTCACAAAACAGCATCATCACTCACAACACAGCATTTATCACTCACAACACAGCATCATCACTCACAACACAGCTTCATCACTCACAACACAGCATCATCACTCACAACACAGCATCATCACTCACAACACAGCTTCATCACTCACAACACAGCTTCATCACTCACAACACAGCTTCATCAAGCACAACACAGCATCATCATTCACAACACAGCTCATCACTCACAAAACAGCTTCATCACTCACAACACAGCATCATCATTCACAACACAGCTTCATCACCTCGCAACACAGCATCATCATTCACAACACACAGCATCATCAACTCACAACACAGCTTCATCACTCAAAACACAGCTTGATCAATCACAACACAGCATCATCACTCACAACACAGCATCATCACTCACAACACAGCTTCATCACTCACAACACAGCATCATCACTCACAACACAGCTTCATCACTCACAACACAGCTTCATCACTCACAACACAGCATCATCACTCACAACACAACATCATCACTCACAACACAGCATTCATCACTCACAACACAGCATCATCACTCCACAACACAGCTTCATCACTCACAACACAGCATCATCACTCACAACGCAGCATCATCACTCACAACACAGCATCATCACTCACAACACAGCATCATCACTCACATACAGCATCATCACCCACAACACAGCTCATCACTCACACACAGCATCATCACTCACAACACAGCTTCATCAATCACAACACAGCTTCATCACTCACAACACAGCATCATCACTCACAACACAGCATCATCACTCACAACACAGCATCATCACTCACAACACAGCATCATCACTCACAACACATTATCATCACTCACAACACAGCATCATCACTCACAGCACAGCATCATCACTCACAACACAGCTTCATCACTCACAGCACGCATCATCACTCACAACACAGCATCATTACTCACAACCACAGCATCATCACTCACAACACAGCTTCATCACTCACAACACAGCATCATCACTCACAACACAGCATCATCTCTCACAACGCAGCATCATCAGTCACAACACAGCTTCATCACTCACAACACGCATCATCACTCACAACACAGCATCAATCACTCACAACACAGCTTCATCACTCACA